CAGCAACTCCAGAGGCCGAGGCAGGAGAATGGCATGAACTCGGGAGGTGGAGCCTGCACTGAGCCAAGATCGTCCCACTGCATTCCAGACTGGGCAACAGAATGAGACTCCGTCTCAAAAATAAAGAAAAAACTGGAGACTGACATTAATACAATGTGTGTGTAGATTCATGAAACCATCACAAAAAAACAGGGTATGGAGTTATTCCATCAGGACAAAAATCTCCTTCTTGCTACCTAACCTTCTTAACCCTAGCAACTATTAATCTATTCTCTGTCTGCGTAATTTTGTCATTTCATTGTTATATACTTGGAATCATAGTATATGACATTTTAAAATTGGCTTCTTTTCACTCAACATAATGCCCTTGTCCATCTAACTTGTTGAATGTATCAATAGTTCATACCTTTTAACTGCTTAGTCATATTCTATGGTAAAGCTATACTAGTTTATTTAAGTATTCTTCTATTGAAGGACATTTTGGTTGTTTTTAGTTTTTGACTTTTACAAATAAAGCTTTCATGAATATCTGTAAATAGGTTTTTTGTGTGTACATTTGTATTTCTCTGGGATAAATGTCTAGGGGTACAATTCTTGGCTCATGTGGTAAGTGTATGTTCACATGTATGTTTTTAAGAAACTGTATGTCTGTTTTTTGGTGTATACACGTTTAGCATTGCTATGCTTTCTTGGTGGACTGACCCTTTTATTATTATGTAATGTGTCTCACCATCCTTGTAATCTTCTTTGCTCTAAAGTCTACTTTATCTGATATTTATATAGCCATTCCTACTTTCTCTTTTTTCCATTCCAGCTTCTTTTTTTTTGTCTGGATATTGGGTCTTACTCTGTTACCCAGGCTGGAGTGCAGCGGTGCCATCATAGCTCACCATAACCTATAACTCCTGGGCTCAAGTGATCCTCCCGCATAGCTGGGACTACAGACGTGCACTACCGTACCTGGCTAGTTTTTTGTTTTTATTTTTGTAGAGATGAGTTCTCCCTATGTTGCTCAGGCTGGTCTTGAACTCCTGGCCTCAAGCAATACTCCCACCTCAGCCCCTCAAAATGCTAGGATTACAGGTGTAATCCAGCTTTCTTTTGATTAATGTAGCCATGTGTATTTTCCCCCTCCTTTTTTTTAACCTACGTAGATCACATTTGAATTATACTATATATATAAGAACAAGGTGGGCGCAGTGGCTCACACCTGAAGTCCAAGCACTTTGGGAGGCCAAAGTGGGCAAATCACTTGAGGCCAGGAGTTTTGAGACCAGCCTTGCCAACATGGCAAAATTCCATCTGTACTAAAAATACAAAAATTAACTGGGTGTGGTGGTGCACCCCTGTAATCCCAGCTACTCGAGAGGCTGAGGCACAAGAATTGTTTGAATCCAGGAGGCAGAGGATGCAGTGAGCTGAGATTGCATCACCACCCTCCAGCCTGGGTGACAGAGCAAGACTCTGTCTTAAAAAAAAAAAAAAAGAAAAAGAAAAAAAAGAAAAAAATTATATCCTGGGTCATGAGTGTGACTCATTTTTAAAGTATAGCCATGGGACAGACTTCAGCTTTATGGTGTCTTTCCCTACTTCCCAACTTGGACAAGTTTTATTCCTTAACCATCTCCTTCCAAGGCCCATAAAACCACTGAAATCAATATTACAAGTTAACATTTTGGCAAATACTCTCAAGATCAAAGTTAACTTCTGTGTTCCAGTTCCTTCTCTAAGTTTCTATTTCACACCGAGTCCTTAACCTATGTATTCTTCCTCTTTAATAGTCTTCAGTGGGGACCTTGGTATGTACCTGTAATCTACCATGTTCTGAAAAACTAATTTAATTCTCAAAACAACTCTATGATGGGTATCATTGCTCTCACTTTAAAGATCACGAAACGGTATGACATTGTGAAAGATGAAACATTAGGCTCACGCCTGTAATCCCAGCACTTTGGGAGGCTGAGGTGGGCGGATCACGAGGTCAGGAGATCAAGACCATCCTGGCCAACATGGTGAAATCCTGTCTCTACTAAAATACAAAAAATTAGCCAGGTGTGGTGGCATGTGCCTATAGTCCCAGCTACTCGGGAGGCTGAGGCAGGGGAATCGCTTGAACCCAAGAGGCGAAGGTTGCAGTGAGCTGAGATGCACCACTGTACTCCACCCTGGAGACAGAGCAAGACTCCCTTTCAAAGAAAAAAAAAAAAAAAAAAATATATATATATATATATATATATAGATAGATAGATAGATATAGATATAGATATATAATATTAATAATATAGTGGAAATACATGAGATTTGCAACAGGCAGAACTGGGCTTGAATTCTGACTTTATCATTTAGTTCTTTTATTAGTTCAAGCAACTTATTTAACCTCTTTAAGCTTTATTTTACTCATTCATTTTATAGTATTTTCTACAGTGTTGCTGGGGGTATTAAATGAGATAATGCATTGCAATGCTTAGCATTTTAGTAAGTACCTGGCCCTAAACAAATGGTAGTTGCTTCTATTATTGTTGTTGTAATTGTTATTAAAGAGTCAATAACATGCCCATGGTCATTCAGCTAGCACATGGTGGCAGGCTGGGACTCAGAATTAAGTCTGTGATTCTAAAGCTCGTGTTCCTTTCCCTACACCATGTTGCTTTCCTTATCTTCCTTAAAAAGTATTCACAGATGGAAAAAAAGAAAAATAATAATTCGCAGGTCTTTCGTACATTTATCTACTTCCTACCTAAATAATCCACAATTATTTAAATGGCTAGGGCCTGTGGGGAATAGGAAGAAAACAGGAGTCTTAGTACTTAACCTCATATATTCCTAACTGGACTATGATTTCCTCAAGAGCAGTTTAATGTAGTTATTAAATATTCAGGCTTTACAATAAAATAGACTTGGATTTGAGTCCCAGCTTCTTAATCTCTAAGATTCTCAATTACTGGTCTGTTAAATGGGGTAAAAATAACATTAACTCCCTTTTAGGAATATTGGGGGCATAGGATAAAGTGGTATATTTAAAACAGGACCCAGGACAGGCATGGTGCTCATGCCTATAAACTCAGCTACTCAGGAGACTGAAGCAGCTGGATTGCTTGAGGCCAGGAGTTTGAGACCAGCCTGGGCAACACAGCAAGACCGTTTCTTAAAAACAAACAAAAGCTGGGCACAACGGCTTATACCTGTAATCTCAGCACTTTTGGAGGCTGAGGCAGGAGGATTTCTTAAGGCCAGGAGTTCAAGACCAGTCTAGGAAACATGGCAAGACCCTGTCTCTACAAAAAAATGAAACAATTAGCTGGGCACGGTGGCACATGCCTGTAGTCCCAGCTACTTGGGAGGTTGAGGCAGGAGGATTACTTGAGACCAGGAGGTCAAGGTTACAGTGAGCCATGATCATGCCACTGCATTCCAGCCTAGGTGACAGAGCAAGACCCTATCTCTTAAAAAAAAAAAACAACATATATACATACATAATACATTTGAAAAAGCTGGGCGTGGTGGCACGTGCCTGGAGTCCCAGCTATTGGAGAGGCTGAAGCAGGAGAACTGCTTGAGCCCAGGAGCTTGAGGCTGCAGTGAGCTATAATTACAACACTGCACTCTAGCCTGAGTGACAGAGTGAGACCACCATCTCTAAAAAAAAAGTGTTTTAAATAGCAACAAGAACAAAAACAAGACCTGAAACATGGTAAATGCTCCCAAATGGTAGCTCTTATTGCCAAAGACAAAGAGGCTATGTCGTCTATGTTTTTATTCCTCCCATTAGTTCAGTCAGTTAACATTTAGTGCCCCTATGTACACTAAAAAAATATATTGCAATCAGCTTGCCTGATACAAAACAAGGCATTAAATTAAAAGGAAACTAAATATGATTCCTCATAGCCTGAAGCTTATTACTTAAGATAGAGAATCCTGCTGCAGAGCTGGCTTCATAATCTGTGAGTTCAAACTACAGAAACACTTGGAACTATCATTCTATCTTAACGTTCAAGTATCTTGGCATGTACAACCAGAGAAAGTCTCTATTTCTGCTTTGGAAGAGAATTTTCTCTCCCCTCTCACAAGGAAAAACAGATCCCTCAAAAAGTTGTTTTCAGTGTTTTATAAGAACCGATAATACTTTTCAATCTCATGGCATAAAGTGATAAAAAGATAATACACAGAAACAGTCAGGCATCACTTAATGATGGAGAACATTCTGAGAAATATATCGTTAGGCAATTTTGTTGTTGTGCAACCATGATAGAGTGTACTTACATAAACCTGGATGGTATAGTCTGCTGCACACCTAGGGTATATGGCATAGTCTTTTACTCCTAGGCTACATGCCTGTTCAGCTGTACTCAATATTGTAGACAGCTGTGATACAGGAGTAAGCATTTGTATATCTAAACACAGAAAAGGTACAGTAGGCCAGGCTTGATGGCTCATGCCTGTAATCCCAACACTTTGGGAGGCTGAGATGGGTGGATCACAGGAGGCCAGGAGTTCGAGACCAGCCTGGCCAACATGGTGAAACGCTGTCTTTACTAAAAATACAAAAATTAGCTGAATGCTGGGCGTGGTGGCTCACGCCTATAATCCTCCCAGCACTTTGGGAGGCCAGGGTAGGCGTTCAAGACCAGCCTGACCAACATGGAGAAACCCTGTCTCTACTAAAAATACAAAAATTAGCCAGGCATGGTGGCACATGCCTGTAATCCCAGCTACTTGGGAGGCTGAGGCAGGAGAATCACTTGAACCTGGGGGGCGGAGGCTGCAGTGAGCTGAGATTGTGCCACTGCACTCCATCCTGGGCAACAGAACGAGACTCTGGGGGAAAAAAAAAAAAGGTACAGTAAAAATATGGAAAAATAATCTTATAGACCACCATCGTGTGTGTGGTCTGTCATTAACCTAAATGTCATTATGTGGCACATGACTGTATATAAAAGATTTGGCCTTCCTCTGCATATCATCAGGAAAATGTGTATCAGTAAAATTCAGACCATAATTACCTTCTTCTTTTGTTCTTCCCCAGCCACTTATAAAACACTTTGTGTTTCCGTCCAGGATTTGGAAAACATCAAAAGGTAGGCAAATAGGCTGAATATAGTCATTATACCTCACTGCTTTTTTTAAGTGAAAAAGTGCAATATCATTTACATAAGATTCCAAAATGAAGTTTGGATGAACAATGATTGCTTTAATTTTTATCTTCTTGGTATAAGGATGGTGCCCATGTATATTATTAGTTCCAATCACAGCTCTCCACATTAAAGGATCGCTGAAAGAAAGTAAACATTCTTATTATAAACATCTTTATTTAACTAAGTACATATTCTTAACTTCCCACTAGTTTTTTTCTCATGTTAGATTAATAATAAAAAACTTTAATTCCAGTTTCATGTGACATAAAATATTAAATAACACAAATATCATGATCTAGGGAAGGAGAAAAAGACCAATGGGACAGAAAATTCAGAAACAGATTCAAGTACATGAGAATTTAATATGTTATTAAGGCAGCAGTTTTTACCAATAGACAAAAGAATGAATTATTCAATATGTGGTATTGGGGCAACTAGCTGTTTGAAAAGAGAAATAAAATTAGATACCTGAAATAACACTAAACACCAAAATAAACTCCAAATGGATTAAATATTTAAATGTACAAATCTTCTTAATAAAGAGTTCCCATCTTTCAGAGATACCCAAAGTGGTATGTCTGAGTTTTGCTTCAAAATAATTGGAGGGAGAATGGTGAGGGTATAGGTGAAACAAGATCAGGTATCAGTTGATAACGGGAAGCTGGGTGATGGGTACATGGGAGTTCGCTAAAATATTTCCTCTAGTTTTATAATTTTTTTGAAACTTACTGGAATGAAACATTTGGGTATTAACTTATTATGTGAATGAAAAAACTAAACCAGCGCCCGGCTCAGTGACTCACACCTGTAATCCCAGCACTTTGGGAAGCCGAGGTGGGTGGATCACGAGGTCAGGAGATTGAGACCATCCTGGCTAACATGCTGAAACCCCGTCTCTACTAAAAACACACACACACACACACACACACACACACACACAAATTAGCCGGGCGTAGTGGCAGGCACCTGTAGTCCCAGCTGTTTGGGAGGCTGAGGCAGGAGAATGGTGTGAACCCGGGAGGTGGAGCTTGCAGTGAGCCAAGATCGAGCCACTGCACTCTAGCCTGGGTGACAGAGTGAGACTCCATCTCAAAAACAAACAAACAAACAAACAAACAGAAAAAAATATAGATGAATATGTAACATTAACACAAGAAAGGATTTGATAAAGCATGATATTAAAGGTAAAAACAAGAAGCAACTAATGGATCTTGGCCATCTTAAAAAAGCAAGCAAACAAGCAAGCAAAAAACCAAACCCAAAACAAGTGAAACAATTAAAACCACAAGAGGTTAACAGTAGTTAACATCTGGAATCGAATTCGGAAGGAGGAACTTTCACTTTATACACTGTCGCTTACAGATAACTTTTCATCTTTCAAATTGGCAGTGTTTATATGAGTGCGCACGTGTGTGTGTGTGTGTGTGTTCGATGATAACACTCAGTGCACACCAGTTAGAGGAACAAGGGTACTCTTACTCATGGCAGAAAGTGTAATAGATGGGCAATCTGGCAACATGTATCAATAGCCTAAAAAAGCTGCATTACATTTGACTTGCAATTCTACTTCCTAGAATTTATCCCAAAGAAATAAAAGATGAACACAAAAATTTACCTATAAAAATATTTACCACAGAAATTTTGGCACATCTACAAAGTGGAATACAGGAGCAAAATAGATACGTTGACATGGAAAAATGCTTACGTTATGTAATTTAATGAAAAAGGCTATTTCACAGTTCAGCTATATAAGCCTGTTCTATAAAATAATTTGCATATATGGCTAGAAAAATCTAGAAGACTATGTAACGAAAAACAGCTATTATTTCTAGGAAATGCAATAAATGATTCTTATTTTTTCTCATTTCTGTTTTCTCATTTTCTTACATTAAATACGTTCTAGGCCGGGCATGGTGGCTCATGCCTGTAATCCCAACACTTTGGGAGGCCGAGACAGGCAGATTGCTTGAGCCCAGGAGTTTGAGCCCACCCTGGGCAACATGACGAAACCCTGTCTCTATAAAAAATACAAAAATTAGCTGGATGTGATGGCACATGCCTGTAGTCCCACCTACTTGAGAGGCCAGGTGGCAGGATTGCTTCAGCCCAGGAGGTTAAGGCTGCAGTGAGCCATGACTATGCCACTGCTCTCAAGCCTGAGCAACAGAGTGAGACCCTGTCTCAAAAACAAAAAACAAAACAAAACAAAAAACCAAAAATGTTTTGTTTTTTTTTTTAAATATAAAACTGTACATACACTTATCATTTGACAAGGTAGTCTCACTCTTGGGTATTTACAGAAGTGAAATGAAAACCTACATTCACACAAATGTTTATAGTGGCTTTACTCATAATTGACCAAATTGGAAACAAATATCCTTCAAGAGTAGATGGATTAACAAACAGTGGTACATTCATATGTATTTGGCCATTCTTGCTTTGTTATAAAGAAATATTTGAGGCTGGGTAATTTATAAAGAAAAGAAGTTTAATTGGCTCACAGTTCTGCAGGCTGCACAGGAACCATGGTGCTGGCATTGCTTGTGGTGAGGGCTTCAGGGAACTTACAATCATGAAGGAAGGGGAAAGGGGAACAGGAGCATCGCATGATGAGAAGGAGCAAGATAGCAAGTGGGGAGGTGCCAAACACTTTTATTTATATGTTTTCCCTAACTTTTATTTTAGGTTTGGGGGTACATGTGCTGGTTTGTTACATAGGTAAACTGTGTGTGGCAGGGGTTTGGTGTGCAGATTATTTCACCACCCATGTGATGAGCATAGTACCCAATAGGTAGTTTTTCAATCCCCTTCTCCACCCTCAAGTAGGCCCCAGTGTCTGTTATTCCCTTCTTCATGTTCATGTATACTCAATGTTTGGCTCCCACTTATGAGAGATAACAACATGTAATATTTGGTTTTCTGTTCCCGTATTAATTTACTTAGATAATGGCCTCTAGTTCCAGCCATGTTGCTACAAAGGAGATGATTTCATTCTTTTTCATGACTGCATAGTATTCCATGGTATATACGTGCCACATTATCCAGTCCATCATTGATGAGCATCTAGGTTGATTCCAGTCTTTGCTATTGTGAATAGTGCTGCAGTAAACATATGCATGCATGTGTCTTTATGGTAGAATTATTTATATTTCTTTAGGTATATATCCAGCAATGGGATTGCTGGGTCAAACAATAGCTCTGTTTTAAGTTCTTTGAGAAATCTCCATACTGGTTTCCACAGGGACTGAACTAATTTCCATTCCCATCAGCAGTGTATAAGCATTTGCTTTCTCCATAGTCTTGCCAGCATCTGTTATTTTTTTGCTTTTTAATAATAGCCATTCTGATTGGTGTGAGATAGTGTCTCATTGTGGTTTTGATTTGCATTTCTCTGATGTTGAGCATTTTTTCATGTTTCTTGGCCATATGTATGTCTTTTGAGAAGTGTCTGTTCATGTCCTTTGCTCATTTTAAAATGGGGTTGTCTAGTGTTTGCTTGCTAATTTGTTTAAGTTCCTTATAGATCCTAGATATTAGACCTTTGTTGAATGCATAGTTTATAAATATTCTGTAGGTTGTCTGTTTACTCTGTTGATAGTTTCTTTTACTGTGCAGAAGCTCTTTAGTTTTATTAGATCCCACTTGTCAATTTTTTTGTTGCAGTTGCGTTTGGAGTCTTTGTCGTGATGTCCTTGCCAGCAGCTTTGTTTCTGGGTTCTCTAACCTGTTCTATTGGTCTATGTGTCTCTTTTTGTACCAGTACCATGCTGTTTTGGTTACTGTAGCCTTCCAGTACAGTTTGAAGTCAGGCAGTATGATGCCTCCAGCTTTGCTCTTTATGCTTAGGATTCCTTTGGCTATTTGGGCTCTCTTTTGTTCCATATGAATTTTAGAATAATTTTAAAAATTCTGTGTAAAACGTTGTTGGTAATTTGATTGGAATAGTGTTGAATCTGTAAATTGCTTTGGGCAGTATGGCCATTTAAACAATAATGATTCTTCCTATCCATGAGCATGGAATGTTTCTCCATTTTTTTTTTTTTTTTTTTTTTTTGTCATCTATGACTTCTTTCAGCAGTGTTTAATAATTTGTTTTGTAGAGAGCTTTCACATGCCTGGTTAGATGTATCCTTAGATATTTTAATCTTTTTGTGGCTATTGAGACTGGGATTCATTCTTGATTTGACTCTCAGCTTGGATTTCATTGGTGTATAGAAATGCTGCTGATTTTTGTACATTGATTTTTTTTATCCTGAAATTTTGCTGAAGTTGTTTATCAGATCTGGGAGCCTTTGGGCAGAGACTATAGGGTTTTCTAGGTATGGAACCATATTGTCTACAAACAGAGATAGTTTGACTTCCTCTCTTCCTATTTGGATGCCTTTTATCTCTTTCTCTTGCCTGGTTGCTCTGGTTAGGACTTCCAGTACTATGTTGAATAAGAGTGGTGATAGTGGGCATCCTTGTCTTGTTCCAGTTCTCCAGGGCATTTCCAGCTTTTGCCCATTCAGTATGATATTGGCTATGGGTTTGTCATAGACGACTCTTATTATCTTGAAGTATGTTCCTTCAATGCTTAGTTTTTTGAGGGTTTTTAACATGAAGGGATTTGAATTTTATCAAAAGCCTTATCTGTATCTATTGAGATGATCATGTGGTTTTTATTTTTAGTTTTAGTTCTGTTTTAGTTCTGCATATATTGAACCAACTTTGCATCCCAGGAATAAAGCCTACTTGATCATGGTGGATTAGTTTTTGATGTGCTGCTAGATTCAGTTTGCTAGTATTTTGTTGAATATTTCTGCATCTATGTTTATGAGGAATATTGGCCTTAAGTTTTCTTTTTAGATCGTGTCTCAGGCAGGTTTCAGTTATCAAAATGATGCCGGCTTTGTAGAATGAATTAGGGAGGAGTCCTTCCTCCTCAATTTTTGAAATAGTTTTAGTAGGACTGGTACCACCACTTTTATACACCTGGTAGAATTTGGCTGTGAATCCTTCTGGTCCAGGACTTTTTCTGGTTGGTAGGTTTTTTTAATTACTGATTGAGTGTTGGAACTTGTTATTGGTCTGTTCAGGGTTTCAATGTCTTCCTGGTTCTATTTTTTGAAGTTGTATGTTTCCAGGAATTTATCCA